TAAAGCATTCAGTGGGAGGAAGCCAGGAATAAAACATCTTAGTGTGTTTGATTATGTTTGTTACAATCGTATTCCTGGATACTTGAGACAGAAATTGGAAGAAGTTTCTGTGAAATGAATCTTTGTAGGATATAGAAAGGCTAAGAAAGTGTATATGATTTATAATTTGGCTACCAAGAAGATCTTCCTCTTTAGGAGTGTCATATTTGATGAAGATGGCATTTGGAGCCGGAAAATTGAGAATGATGCCTCACAGTCATTTCCATGAACTTGAAATTGAATGAGAAGAATGAAGTAACTGAAATGATCCAAGAGACTGAGAATGGGGAATTTAGCTACAAGGGAATAATGTTTAGCCATAAGTGTATGTTCTTAGACTGAATTTGGAGAAACAAGCAATCTAAGTAGCACTCTTGTGAAAGTGATATCACTCACCGATGTCTATGCTAGATGTAATGTTAGTATTATTGAACCTGAGGAGTATGAGGAGGTAGAAATTGATAATGCTTGGAGAAGCAAAAAGCTTTACAAAGATTAGGGTTGTCCCATGCTTAATCGCCACTTTGGTGTTCTCCAAGGTTCCTGATGTTATGTTTGTAAAAGCCAAGGAAACTAGAACTGAAGTTGTGAAAAATCCTCTATCATGAAGAGTGAACAAAACAAGGAACCATTCCAGATTGGCTAACTTTCTCAATCAGATGACTTCGTTCAACCAAAATCAATTTTCGGAATTGCATAGTGGACTCCAGCAACAAATTGTTTGTTAGTGATTAAGCATTTTTACAGATCACCAGCAATCTGTAATTCCTTTGTTGTTCTTCATTTTCAGTTTCAGTCTTAGAGGTTTAGTTCTAGTACATGTAAGACGAGGATTATAACATCTTAAGGGTGTGTACTGAGCTAGCTATGCATAGTTAAATGAGTGTGTGTTGTGCATGTAAGCTAGCTTAGAATGCTTGACTCCTGTGGAGCATATGTAGCTCCAATGTTCACTTTGATTTCTTTGTTCTCGAATCTTCATTCACACTATGTACGATTGAAAGAAATAATGGATTCAAGTCTTATTCTTCCTCTAATTCTTGGAGTTTTTTATTCTTGCTAAAATAATTAATCAAAATCACCAATCAGACAACAATATTTTTACATCGGACCAAACTCCAGAAAACATGGTAGGTAGGCTCTTAAGCTTCTTTTCGAGATCTGAGGGTTGGAGAGATAGCCTGCTATTGCTAGGCTTGAAGACCTTCACAATGCTTCTTTAGCAAGCTCTCTTGGCACTTGCTCATCCAAATTACAGCCATGTTGTCCTCAATGTTGAAGATCAACACTAGCCCAAAGAATAAAAGCCCTGCCCACGAAAATTAATTAACACTTGAGCGAGGAAAAGTCTAGAAGAATGATGAGGTTTCCACCAACATGCAAGATTAGTGCGGTTAGTTCTAGCAAAGGAAGTTTGCGGAATTAGCTAGATATTTCTAGTATGGTGTCTCCATGCTTCTCCAAGGTACCATCCATGCCTATAAAAGGAGAAGGCATCCACCCCATTTGAAAAACCAAGAATTGAGAAGCAAGAACTGTTTGTACCATACTTGACCAATCCCAAAACTACTGAACACCGGTCAACGTTATACCGTCAAGGACCCAGAAGAGTTTCCCTCCAACCAGGAGGCCAATCACAGCGCGACACGTGTCGACATCAGAAGCCAATCATAGCGCGACAAGTGTCAACATCAGAAGCCAATCACAACACGACACGTGTCAATGTCAGAATGAAACTAGAAACTCTCTTCTATAAATAGAGATCATTCTTTCACAATATTTCCGAATGTCATTTGTACTAAATCATTCACTAGTACTCACTAAAAGAGAGCTTGAACTTATGTACTTGTGTAAACCCTTCACAATTAATGAGAACTCATCTACTCCATGCACGTAACCAATCTGGGTGAACCACGTACATCTTGTGTTTGCTTCCCTGTCTCTATCCATTTGCATACTTATCCACACTAATGACTGGAGCAATCTAGCAAAGGTCATAAACTTAACACTTTCTGTTGTACCAAAGTCCTCACTGATTTTGTGCATCAACATTTGGAAGTGAGGTCCAATCTAAGTGTGAGAGTGAGATATAAGGTCTTTGTGAGGAGTATGAGTGTTCTAGAGTTTATCTCTGGAAAGTAAGAGGGTGTCATAGCTTCTAAAATTGTGTCTTTGAGAATTTGTGTGTTGTAATATTTATGTGTAATACAAGTAATTTGTTTACTTGTTTGTCTCTCCAACACTTATATTAGAGTTGCGTACTCTAATTTTCTTGATAATTAGTACCATAGCGGTATGATCAGGGACCAGCTCTAGTGAAGCTTTCGGGAATCGTTTAGAGTTCAGTACTTCACAAGATTGTTGGCTGATCTTGCTCTATGTATCAAAATTCTTCTAGCACAATGGGTGATTTTTAAGTAGTTAAAGGAATTAAGAAGATCAACAACAAAAATTACAACATATTAACAACATGCACGGAGTCTTACCAGCAAGGTCAAGATCTTCAGGAGGTCATTGGCGGTAATGAAGTTATGCAGCCGAAAAAAGGTGCCATTGGCACTTTGCGTAACTAGAAGATTAAAGCAGGAAAAAAAGTGTTTGCCCTAAAGACCACAATTGAAGAAGAATTGTTAGAGCACATAACAAAAGCCAAAACACCAAAAGAAGCATAGGACACCTTCGCCACACTCTTTTTAGGAAGATACAAGGCTACAACTTCTTGGGAACGAACTATTTTCAATGGCACAACAGGACATGACGATTGCTCAGTAATTCCACAAGCTAAAGTCCGTGAAATTTATGAATTAAACCCTACTGTTGCTATCGTAGAATCCAAAATAAAGAATAATTATCTATGATTTGAGACTCAAATACCGAAGCCTTGTTGCTGCTATACAAGGATGGTCAACTCAAACATCACTTGTTGAGTTTTGAGACTTTGCTTGCCAATCAAGAAGCTTTGGCTAAGCAAATGGTGACAAGTCGGCAGGTCATAAAAAAGAGGTGAGTTCTCGGTCAAATGGAGCTCCAAAGTATCATGGCAATCATAGTGAATCTAAGAATAATAAAAGGTTTAAGGGCAAATGCTACAACTGTGGAAAGAAGGGCCACATGGCAACGCCTCTTGAATATGTCCATCAATATAATTCATCGTGTTGGTATTGATATCGTTATGAATAAGTAGGCCTGCTATGCACAAAATAATAAAAATACTAATAATCATAATAGCTATTATTTAAAAAATAATTATTGGGATTTGGGGAAGAAGATGAGGAAGAAAGGAAATTAGGAGAGAAGGGTGCAGATCTGGGATTTAACTTGGAATCGCATGAACCCTTGCTCGACGAAGCCCTTCATCTCCCTATGTTCCTTCTTCACCGCTCATTATTTTCTGGGACTTTACGCAACAAAGTCTGAAGGACATTTGTCGCACTCTTCTTCCTAAGCGACAAAGCATTTCGTCGCACAATAACCTCGTTTGACGCACAAAAATTGGTGCCAAATTCTCATTTTACCATGCATTTTTTTCTTCAGATTTTATGCGACAAATATAGTACGTTGTCAAGCATATACTATTTGCACGACAAAACACTTCGTCCTGCAAAGTTTTTTTTAATTTTTTTTTGCCATGAACATTTGGTGCGACAAACTACTTATTTGGTCATGCAAAGAGGTCTTGGGCGACAAAATTTCCTTTGTCTCCTAAAGCTTTGTTGCCCAAGTAGTTTTCTACTAGTGTACACTTTTACCTGTTTTATTGACACTATAAAGAAGTGCAATATGACTTTTTAAAACGAGTAAAATCACTTTTTTTTCAGAGTGAAAAATAAGAAACTAGGGCACAAAGGGTAGGGTTCATTCTCTCACTAGCAAGGTTCTAAAAGACGTTAGGTGCTAGTTAAGCGACAAGTTGGGGCCTAATGCCTATGTTGTCATGCAGCACCTAGGTGGACTAGGCGAATTTAAGTAAATTTATTATATATTGTATAAATAAGTGTCTATTTGTACTTTAAAGAATACAATACATAAATTATAAAATAAAATGACATATAGACTATAAAATTTAGAACATATTGAAAACACGGGAGCAAGCACATAATTAGTGTTCATCCAAGTTGTTTATACCATATTTAGGGCCTTTGTATTTAGATCTCGTACAAATACTCAGGGGACTTAAATGTAATTATGTAAGAAAGGAAAGGGCAAATATGTAATAAGTGAGGAGTCCTTATTCTATAAAAGGACCCCTCACCCTCACAATTAGGGGAGGCTAATCATTAGGCCATATCCTCAGCCTCTCAGAGCTCTCATCCTCATAGAGAAGCTCTCTCTCTCTCCCTCTTCAACTCTTACAGAGAAATACAATCAGTGTGGACGTAGCCCAAACCTTGGGGTGAACCACGATACATCTTGTGTCATTTACATTTCTTGCAGATTCACAGTCGGATTTACGTTGTTCTAAGACCTCCGGTTTTGTGCATCAACATTTAGCGCCGTCTGTGGGAATCGAAACGAAAAACTATGTCGGTTCTCTTTCAATTTTTCACCTTCACCACGAATCTGCAAAATCATAAAACAAAAAAAGAAAAAAAAAACTCAGAAACCCAGTAACCTTTCTCTTTCTCTCTCCACGCTCACCAATCTACTCCAAATTCTAAATTCTAGAGCCATAATTGTCTCATAAATGGAGGTTTCCTTACAAAGCAACCTCTGGGATAGTGTGGTGGAACTGACCAAAAGGGCACATCAAAAGAGAGAGAGAGGAATTAGGTTTTGTTCTGTGAAGTCCATCCGCCATTGATGATCTCCTTGCTCGCAAATGTAAAATTACGTTTCCCTTGCGCTTCAGCTCGCACTCTTCATCCTCAAACGTAGCCGTCGCCGATCTTCAGCTTCAACTGCTAGTCACTTTCGGTCGTCGCGTCACCGACATCAATTAGCCAAACTTATCTCCGGGTAATATGGCACACAGTTTGCTTAAGAATGTGGAGGCAGATGGTTGGGAACGATTAGATTTTCCCATCATCTGCGAGTCATGCTTGGGAGACAATCCCTACGTCCGGATGACACGAGCTGATTATGACAAGGAGTGTAAGATTTGCACACGTCCGTTCATAATTTTCAGGTGGAGGCCTGGTCGTGATGCGCGATTTAAGAAGTCAGAGATTTGCCAGACGTGCAGTAAGTTGAAAAACGTTTGTCAAGTTTGCCTCTTGGATCTCGAATATGGCTTACCAGTTCAAGTTTGAGATACTTCTCTGGCCATCAGTTCTGACTGCAAGTTATCTCCGGTTCTAAGACCCCTCCAGTTCAGCCCCGGACCCATGACTCTCGTCTCCAACTTCTTTTCCGACGGCGCCGACGACTGCAAGTCCTTCTCCTAGTTGCTCGCCAGAGCCATGACGTCTCCATCATCTACCACCTGTGAAGGCTCAGACAATCGACGAGCTCCACTCGCTGCAGAAAAAGAAGTCGGCACCCACCACCTCTAACAATGGCACTTATGGTGCTGCTTTTGCCATCACCATCTCTGAGGAGGAGCGACACAAGCAGCAGCTCCAGTCCATCAGTGCTTCTTTGGCATCGCTGACGAGAGAGACGGGGCCAAATGTGGTTTGATGAGACTCAACTAAACAGTCTGATACCCCCAAGGTTTCGTCGCACGTGTCGCACCACCACCACTGCTCACCCATGCTGTAAACCTGTAAAAAAGAAAAGCAAAAGATAAGCCTATTATTATGATTTCTTTTGTTTACTAGGTGAAGAGACAGCGGTGGAAAAGAGAAAAAGAGAAAGCAAAAGCAAAAAGCAAAAGCAAAAAGAGAAAAGTAAAAGCAAGGAATAAACACCCCACCTGAATTATGTGATTTACTTTTCTTGTTTTTGAATGATGTAATTTATTTTTCTTATCTTTCAGAGACATTTGTATAAACCCCATCAGAGGGTAATAAAAAAAACAGCAAAGCCCAAAATAAATGGGCTGGAATGTTATGTGGAGAGCGAAGGCCCATAAGCCCAAAATGGCACCAACCAAGTGATCAAAAGACGCCCAGTACTCCACAATTATTCGGCAACCTGCTGTTATTACCACCAACCAGGTGATCAAAAGTATGCCTAGTACTCCAAAATTATTCGGCAACCTGCCGCTATTACCACCAACCAGGTGATGAAATGTACAACCCGTACTCTAATATTATTTGACAACTAGCCATTCATGCTACCAACCAGGTGATGAAATGTACAACCCATACTCTCCTTCATGCCACCAATCAGGTAATCAAAAGTACGCCCAGTACTCCAAATTATACATGAGCATTACTCATGTCATTCATACATAAACATTCATGAGCATCACTCATGACAATCATAAACATTCATGACCATTATTCATGAGCATCACTCATGTTAACATTCATGAGCATCACTCATGACAACATCCATGAGCATCACTCATGTCATTCAACATAAACATTCATGAGTATCACTCATGTCAATTAGCTTCAAAAGCTTCATTTACAGAGCTCTAGCTTCAAAAGCTTCATTTACAAAAGCTCCAGCTTCGAAAGCTTCATTTACAGAGCTCTAGCTTCAAAGCTTCACTTGCAAAGCTTCACCTACAAAGCTTCAGTGCAGGGTATACAAATACCACATTCGAACAACCGCCACTTCAGCCTATACATGGATTCAATTTGAAGTCTGCAGCTAACAAACTCTATTGACCGAAGACTTGAGGGACTACATTATGTACCATATATGTATTGAGAAGCGAGCCCTTATTCTATAAAAGGGACTCATTCACCATCATTAGAGAGCATCAACTCTAGCCCATCATTCATGTATTGACGAGTGAGCCCTTATTCTATAAAAGGGACTCCCTCACCTTTAACGTCACAAGCCGAGCCAACCAAGCCAACATAAGCCACGAGTCGAGCAGCCTCGCAACATAGGCTACTTCTAGTTGAGCATCATTACAGATTGAGCACCGCCTCATATCGAGCATCAGTTCAAGACAACTTCTAGTTACTTCGGCCCACACATGGACTGAATTTCAAGTCTCCAGCCAAGAGACTCTCTTGACTGAAGACTGGGACTACTGTTTATACCATATTTAGGGCCTCCGTATTTAGATCTCATACAAATACTCAGGGGACTTAAATGTAATTATGTAAGAAAGGAAAGGGCAAATATGTAATAAGTGAGGAGTCCTTATTCTATAAAATGACCCCTCACCCTTACAATTAGGGGAAGCCATCCTTAGGCCATATCCTCACCCTCTTAGAGCTCTCATCCTTACAGAGAAGCTCTATCTCTCTCTCTCTTCAACTCTCAAATATGTTATAACAAAGAAGACACTTTCTGGAATTATTAATACAACATGTATATGATCTCATGAACGGAATGCCATTACTTAGAAACGAGAACCAGAGATACCATATGCTCGTACTAATTCCAAACTCCACATATTGAACATGTAACAATCAAGATAGAAGTCAAAGGGTTGTAACGGGGCTAAGGTATTGACTAACAAAGAAAGGTAAAGATAAACAAAAGTTCTTAAAGCGATAGTAAGCAAGACAAGCATGGCAAAGTAAAAACAATACATAGAAATGTTAGAAAACACAAATCTGGTTGTAGGAGCCGGAGGGTCCAAGGTCTCTTTATTCGAACACATGGGTTGCCTTCTATGAAGCGTTTGCTTTAACGTCTTCCAGCTGGACGATACCTCCATTTAAGCTTCACTAGGGCCAATGGCATGGAGGGGTACATCTTCCACGACATGCTCCTCAAAACTTCCATGCATTGGATCTATGAACAGAAGGGGATAGTGATCCTTCCTGATTGTGGCGTTGAGCTTCCTAAAGTCAATGTAAACTCTCCCACCAGCTTGAATCTGATTGGGCACCTGAACGAAAGAAGGTAACAACCTATTAGTTGAAATGGGAATTGGAATTGGAATAAGTGGCTCACCAATGTAGTGCGATGAAGACTCTAAAGTAGCAGTAATGTCAACAATTTCATAAGTGCTCTCCACCAGATTGGGTATTTTGAGGGCAGCGGTGTGTCCCTTGTGATCCACTTCAATTCCCTTGTCGATGGTGGTTCGAAATACATCATTCTTGATAGGTGTTGAACGTTCATGCCCTATATTTTTATTCACATCAATGGCACAACAAGAACGAACATCATTAGAATTCTTAACAGATTCAGAAACATTAAATTTAATCACATCGCCATGAAACTCCATAGTTAACGCTCTTTTGGCCACATCAATCTTGGTTTGGGCTGTTTTCATGAATGGTCGTCCAAGTAAGATTGGCAATGGTGGAGAGTGGGTTGAATCTTCCATCTCAAGCACATAAAAATCTGCCGGAAAAATCAAATGGTCTACCTGCACCAAAACATCTTCCAAAACTCCTTTCAGATATGCATTAAATCAATCAACCAATTGAATAATGACACCATCATTTTTAAGCTATCCTAGATTCATAGATGCATAAACAGAATATGGTATGACATTAATGGAAGCATCTAAATCTAGCATAGCATGTTCAAACTTGTATTACCAATAACACAAGGGATAGTGAAACTACCTGGATCTTTGCATTTAGGTGGCAGCTTTCGTTGCAAAACTGCAGAGACATTTTCACTTACATGTACCACCTCTCTCTCCGGAATCCGCTTCTTTGTTGTACAAAGCTTCTTAAAAAACTTAGCGTACTTTGGAACTTGCTTTATAGCATCAAGAAGCAGGATATTAACTTGCACTTTCCTGAAAGTCTCTAGAATGTCTTTTTCATTCTCTTCTTTCCTAGATTGCATAAACCTGCCAGGGAAAGGCACATTTGGCAGAATAGAGTTAGAAGGAATAGAATTTGAACCAAACTTACCTAAATTGGATGGCTTGGGGGTCTTAGGGGGCTGCGGCAAGGGGTGTTCTTCCTTTGCCATGACTCTGTCCAACTCATCGTCTTCTTGCAGCAGCTTTTCGTCCTCTTTTTGGCTTTGTTTAGACGTTTTTAAGTTGGTTCCAATCTCCTTGCCACTTCTCAAGGTGATAGCTTTAGCCATTTCATAACCTCATTTTGGATTGACAATGATTAAACTAGGCAGTTTACCTTGTTCTCTGAATTGTCCAATGAATTTTGCCATCTGCTCTATTTGATTCTTCAATTCGCTCACCTCTTTGGCTTGATTTTGTAAACCCTGAGTCAAAAAGGTTAGTGCTTGAAGATTTTTTTCATTATCCATTGACGAACCTGAATTTGGTTGGGATTGTTGTGGGGAAGATTCTGGTGGCTGCATAGGTCTTGAATAAAACTCCTCAGGTTGCTGCCAAAATCTTTCTTGTTGAACTTGTTGAGGTTCCCTCCACATAAAATTTGAATGATCTCTTCCACCTGGGTTGTAAATGTAGGAAAACAAGTCGTTCCTTGATTGATTATAGCCTTGATAACCCCAAGCATTAACACTACCCTAACCTCCATTCTCAATTAATTGAGGATGTTGATTAGTTTGATATCCTTGCCTAAAGGACACACCAAATATAGCCACATTTTGCATTGCAGTCCTTTTGATATACTGCGACAAAAGAGAAGTAAGATTCGCCATTTGAGCTTGAAGATTTGCAATTGCTATGTCTTGCTTCTTTAGTACCTGAAATCAAAGAAATAAACCTAAATCAAATATCAAAAGAAAAATAAACAAAAAACAAAGGGATTAGCAATTTTACTAATCCCTGGCAACGGCGCCAAAAGATGTGGTAAAAACTAACACACAAATTAAACCCTCTTTTAGATAATTGTAGTATGTGTAAGTCGGGATCGTTCTAGGCTGGGGATTAGGAGGGATGCTAATCTACACTAACTTGACTCAAAAACTAAAAACTAGACTCAAATACATAAAACTAAGCTAGACTGACTCAAATAACACAAAACTAGCACTAAGGGGTGTTTTGGATGAAAATTGAAGTAAATTGACACGAAATACTAAAGGGGGATTTGTTTGGACGAATTTTAAACTAAAACTAAGTAGGTTGCAGAAACAAAGTAAGGGTGATACGAAACTAAGGTAAATTAAGAGGTGAAATGCTAGTTAGAGGGTCATTCTCCACACATGACACATATGCATACAAATCGATTTCCAATTATTATTCCTATAAACCATGAATGACAATGCCCCAAATTAATCGTGAAAAGTACAAATTAACTTTCAGATTTTCCTAAATTCATTGAATTGGACTCAATGACGCAACCAAATTATTCTTATCAAGTTCCCTATATGAACTGCATGATAGAGATACATATCAAAGATCATTAAGTTATATGAAAATCATAAGCATTGACAAGGCATTTGTAACTATGAACTGCATGATACTCATGCCAGGAATTTACTTAACACAATCATGACTAGTGACTTTTACTACTTGCAAATGTAAGTTCTAAACGATTCAGTGAAATTCCCTTATATTCTAGCATCAAATCCTTGCATGCAAACTAAGTATGCATCCTTAATCAACACACAAGAACAAGTTCTCAATAAAACAGATAAATAAATTGCATTCACGATTTATGAAACAATAATTGGATGTAATCAATTTATATAAAACATATGATCATGGC